TTTCAAATTTCCGCCATATACCGGTAAAAAATGTTCGCGACGGGACTATTTCACTAAGTTCTCGGTATGCCTTCACTAGGTGCTCTTTTTGGCGTTTTCCACCTAGGCAGTAACATTTCTCCTTTCTACTACATCCTATTCTTTCGATCGTTTTGTCTCTATTCTCCAAATTCGAACGCTTTTACCGATTCCTTCAATGCGTCGCCTGATACGTGGCCGCCCCAAGGCGCACTTCTTTCCATGCGTTCCCTTGTCTCCGCCCGACCTACCCGCGACCGTCCCCAGAGTGTGGTTTTCGTAGGTTGTATCTCTTCGATGAATCATTTTGAACTCTTGTGCGATGTCTCTAGCGATCACAACTGATGTATTCATGTCGGGAACGAATGCAATAATTTCTTCGCCATTCCTTTAACTGCGAGTTCAAAGGTGAAAATTTTCATTTTGGTGATTTAGCGGAGTGTGCTAACGTAAAATGTCATTAGGTAGCTATCGCTGTTTCTCACCACAGTACGTAGAGCTTGTATGCACTACATACTCTCCCTTTCAAAAAAGCGAGAAGAGCGTCGGGTGCAGACCATACACCACAAGTGACGACGGCCTCCAAGTAAATCTGGTTAGTAGTGGTTCATAGTGATAGCTGATTTTTGGTAAATGATAGTTGTAATTAGTGACAACTGATAGAATACAACTGCAACAGGCTAATCATTTCATTGGCAGAAAACATTTACATTTTGTGAAGGCCGTCGTCACTTGTGGTGTATGGTCTGCACCCGACGCTTTTCTCGTTTTTTGAAGGGAGCATATTCTATAGGAACACTGGTTTTGAAATTGGGTGCACCCCGTCAAGACTGTATTACTGCTTCATTGCGGCTACTATTTCAAAGGGCTAAACCCTGGATAGGTTGAGGGAAGAGTAAGCTGAAAAGGAGCAGGGGCTGGACGATGGGTTTTCATTTTTACTTAACTGGCGTCCATTTCCGTTCCTGCTTTCATTATCGAGCGCTTTAACCCTACCAGCTTGACCCATGCGTGTGTCTTTAAGCACATTTATTGTAGAGAACACCTATTAAAAATAAAAACCTGGTGTTTCAGTTCGTGAGCAAATGTCGTTGGCTATCAATGGACGTGCTAGAGGCTTGCTTCCCGTACAATCTTGTGAGGACAGCCTATCAGCACTGCTATCAACAAGAGGCTGACACATTTCAGTAATTTGAGCACTTTTATTTACTTCATGTCATTTCCTACATCTCTTGTTGTTCACTTGTTTTTTTCACAATTGTTTTCCATGTTGTCTCGCCATTGTTTCCATGTTGGTTTCCTTTCGTATTGTTGCATATTCATATTTTTACAGTGACCGATTATTCTAGTCTTTCCTTCGTAACTTATCATTACCTTACCATAGTTTCATCTATTTTTACAGGTATTGTAAAGGTGCAATGTA